GAGGCAGATGGACGACTATCACTACGCGCATCTGATCAACACCTTCGGCAAAATACGGAGCGACGTGGTGGTGAGTGCCAGTACGAGTGTATGGAGTCACAGAACAAATGATGTGTTTGTATCTCAAGGCGCCGCTGTCGTCTCTCTGAATGGCTTTCGAAATAATATCGAATCGCCCAATCCGTTTGCGTTGGTCGTTGTCGTCATTGTCGGAGGGGAGCGTCGGCACGCCGGCCCTCACCTACCGTTGCAGTGCAAGTTGAGCACCGAGAGCAAACTCTGTGCCCTTGACCGTGTTGTCCTGCGAGGCCACAGTGAGGCTGTTGGCAAGACAAACAATCACGGCGAGGAAGCGGGAATCTTTGCACAGATTGATTGTTTCTCTCGCAGCCATAGCCACATTTCAAAGATGTCTGCAGCGCACAGGATTTTTTTTTAATTTTTTCCCCCCCTCTAAACATGCCACCTCAAATCCCCGAGAGATGCATCCCTCACTTTAGCACTTTGAAATTTTGTCCTTGTTATTCCTGGGGCAAATAAATGGCCATTTTCAGGGCTTTCCAATACTTTTCCCCCGCCCCAAAAAGCACTCACGGAGCAGCGTGAAATTCAGTCGGCGTGTCTGTCATGAAAAGACTCTCCAAAAAGTCTCAGGAAATCATGTCGGAAAAGCCGCTGCTAGTCGGACATTTTGGTTCCAATTGGCAATTTTCGAGTCAATTTTGACCATTTGCAGCAGTCCTTCAAAAAGGTACTTGCTGTCAAAATGTTGTCTGATTGCTCCCACTTTTGTGTATCCGATACTGGATTGACTTGTTTGTTTTGTTTGTTTGTTTGTTTGTTTGTTTATTGAACATAAAACATATACAGTAATAATTTGACAGAAAATAAGGTAAATAAAATAGTAAAGAGGAAAGAGAAATTAGTCATCATTCAACACAGTTATTATGTTCAAGGGAGTAGGAAGAAGTAAAGAACTTATCTAGTCCTACCCCGTGTTGTATGTTTATATCTATTGAATCATTTTTATATCAATCAGAAAAGAAACAAAGTAAGAAGAAAGAAGTCTCCATTAAGGCTCATGCTTTACCCTTAACCGTGATATTTTTATACTTTTGGTTTGTATCGGGAATTTATACATACACACCCTGGCACTCTTGTGTTAATTTTCTCTTGTATTCATAATGGATATTTCAATACCTTTCTCTATTTATCAACCTAGTTCTGATTCATTATATTTAATGTTTAGAATTTATCATTTTAACTCTGATTG